TGGAGGGGCATGTGTGCTGTGCAGGGGGGGCATGTGCCCTGTAGGGGGGCTGTGGCCCTGCAGAGGGTGCTGTGCAGGGGTACTGCACCCTATGGGGGGCAAGGCACCCACCCCTCCTGAGCAGTTCCCCTATACAGCCCTCCCACACCTATAGTCCCCCCACAATCCACACACAACACACACAACCCCAAGCTACCCCCACAGACCCTTCACCCACACACTTGGCCACAAACCCCATACCCCTACAGACCTCACCCCCACAAACCCTACACCCACCCCCAAATCTGATTTGGAGAGTCGGCTGCTACCAAATCTCTGAATCTCTGAATCAGCATCCAGGCCCATCCCCTGCCTCTCTCCTAGCCTGGCAATGGCTGCCCCAGCTCCCAGCACTTGTTAAAAAAATAGCCCCGCTCGCTGGGTGCTGCCAGGCAGGGGGGGCAAACCCTGCTGCCCCCCCCACTGTCCTATGCTGCATGGGGGGCTCTGCATGAGCCCCCCAACTCCCACCACTCCTCCAGCTCTCCCGCAGGTGTCCCACCCAGGCCAGCTCCAGCCCTTTAAGGAAAAAAAACCTGCTAAAACCCTGGACTCACCACTCCTGCCAGTGGGGGGGGATCCCCGCTGCCCCCTGCTGCCCTGCACCACATTCAGGGTTCTGCATGAGCCCCCAAAGCCCCAAGGCTGCTGCAGGAGCAGTGTGTCCCAGGGATTTTCTTGGCTTTTTTTTCCCAGGCTTTTTTTTTTTTTAAGTACCGGGAGCTGGGGCGGGTGGGGACAGCCTGGGAGGGGCTGGGGGAAGCAGCCCGAATTATCAAAGCTCTCTGAATCTTTTCCAAAGATTCAGAGAGCTTTGAATTGATTCAAACCTGTAATTGGTCCCCTGATTCAATTTGGATTCAGAGATTCAGCCATTGAATTGGGCTAAATCTCCAAATTGAATCACCACCTGAAGCTTTCCACAGCCATTTGGGGCCAAGAGGACATGCTTTGACAGTTCAAAGTAGGCCACCACAAGGAGCACATCTTCTGGGTGATAGCTTCCCAGATGGCAGAGCCGGGGCACCCCATCCGGGTCTGGCAGGGTTGCAGCCTTAGTCCAAGGGGGTGTATTCTGTTGCAGGTGGCAGCAGGTCACAGCCAGACAGCAGCTTCCACTGCCAGACTGCTGCAGTGGGTAGAAAGTGCAGGGGCACTCCATGTTAAGGCTGCTTCAGCAGTCCAGGTGGCACAAGAGGTAGTGTCCCCAAATACCAAGTGGCTGGGCCTCAGAAGCTCCTGAGGGCAAGTAGCCCTGAGCTGCTCACCAGGGCAGGTTTTTATACTGCTGGGGCCAGCACCTGGGGACCAGCCTCTAGCTCCCCTGGGTGCAGATCTGGGAGGAGCTGTACAGGGTCATTTTGCCCCAAGTAGCACAACTTGTCCCACACCAAAGTTCATGTCCAGGCACGTGCGCTGAGGCAAAAATCCCTGGCACAAATTGTGCCACTCCTATTTGAGCTGCTGCAAGGGCCAAGGGCACGTGCTGCATGTATGGATGTGTCCAGATAGTCTATGTTTAGAATTTGAGAGTGACAGAGAGTTGGCTACATATGAGTCTGGATTTATAATGGCTCTTGCACTAAAGTACATTAAAGCAACTTATATCCTGTTCTAACTTTTGGCAGCCATGTATGATCCCACTAGCTGGCAGTCTGCTGAACTGATCTGTGCTCCTTCCTTTAACCAAACTTCTCCTTGGGTGCAGCTACATGTGCCCATTACTGCAGGGCAGACTAATTAGCTCTGCAGTACAGCGTCACAATCTACACGTGTGCCAATATTAGGATGCAGTAAATTAATTAACTCCACTATAAGTTTCTACTGTTGGGGACAGTGCTGTTTTATGGCAGAGTCATTAAGTGTGATTAAACATACGTGTAGACGGTGACCACTGGGCACAAATTGCACCCAGTTAGCCCAGCCAGCTAAGGGCCAGACCCCTGCCTTCTGCCAGCCCCTCTGCTACCTGACACTACGACCTGGAGCCCAGGGCTTATGCTCTATGCCCCCTGCCAGCCCGGGGCTGCTCCACCCCAAATCAAGTTGCTGTGGTCCTGGGTGCATGTGTAGATGCTGCGCCCAGGGGAAGTTGACTCCAGCTCAAACGTGCTCTGGAGTTTATTATGTCATGTTAATTTCACAGGTAGATGCACCCCCTGTGTACTGTATATTCTGAGAGTAAAACACAATTAGTTCAAGAGCTGGGGCGGGTGGTTACCTGGTTTCGAGTTCAGTTTGAACTGAACTTTGCAGTAGCCAGAACTGGAAGAGAAAATTCTGCTGCAAAAGAGTACAAAAGAACTAAATAGGTATTGAAATAAATTTATAAAATAAACCTAATACTAAGGGCTACCAATACCAGAATGGCAGGCAATACACAAAACCAAAAGGAAGTGCAAGAAATATGATGACTTTGAACTTTAGGGGTATATTATAAAAAAGAAAACAAAACAAAAAAGACCGAGACAAGGCCAAAAAAGTTCAGTAAGATAAAATATACCTTAGAAGCAGGTAACAATGGCTCTGGTTTAATACCAAAGGGATGGTATTATAATCTTTAAGTAAAAGAAGCCAAAAAAAGAAAATTAAACGAACTACAAATTGGGGCTCTCTATCAGAGTCTCCCTCTAGTTCTGACTAGCCATGTATTTTCTTTTTTCCAAACAGATACGAGGAGGAAAACTAATGATCTCAAACACGAGAAAGAGTGATGCGGGCACATACATTTGTGTTGGAACAAACATGGTGGGCGAACGAGACAGCGATCCAGCAGAGCTCACTGTCTTTGGTAAAACTTCTTAGGCTTTCATTTTCTTTTTTTTACTACAAATGCAATATACTGAATTGATCTGGCTGAGCTGTCAAAGCATGTGACAAAATCAGGTTAACAAGATGCAATGTAATTGCTTATGTACAAGCTGAATTTCATAGCTTTTTGTGAGGCATAAGTCTCAAAGGTTGCAATTTATAAGTAGAGAGCTGAGAAGAACCAGTATTTTTTTTCCAAGTGCATAATTTAAATCTACTTGGAGGTCCTTGGTGAAATGCATAAACTTAAAAACCTTAATCCAGCAGATAATGCTCTCCCTTACAAAATTACCAAATATAATTGAGCCACTTTTAATACAGTTGACAGTGTCTACTTGACAGAGGCTTGTTTCTGCATTGCCTGTTTAAATAATTTCTTATTGCTTTAAGGGCTGTGAGATCAAATCTTTTGTAGCAGAGCACAAATGAGCTGGATCAACTGGTACAAAGACTGTAGATAAACTCATGAGATCAGCTCCTTAACTATACAGATATTTTTATTCACATTCTTCTTTAAAAGGACAGTAAAATCAATGTTATTCTTTAAGCCACAGACCTCACTTTGGTTCCTGGTACTGCTGAATGAATCAAAAGCTGAGCAGTTTACTGGATGGTGGAGTTTCTAAACTCTGATGGTCAAGCAAGCAATTGTTTTTGGTCATTTCCCACATGGGGAGAGTGTAGAGAAAAGGTACTAGAGTGAGTTTAGAGATAAATGCAACCTAGTTGCTAGTGGATAACAAGTAAGGTGGTACTTTTATCTACTATTAACAGCATTTCTGTAGGCACCAGTCAGGAGGATGAAAAAATCAGTAATTTAAATGTACACTCTCTCACCACCACCCCAAACTACACCCCCCCCACCCCCCGTAATGTTTCTACCTGGCAATTCCTTTGACACAATATGGAGTCTCTGTTCTGTAGTAAGACTTCAAATAGAGAACAACTCCTTACCCCAAGGGAATCTGACTTACAAGTTGCATCTTGTCTGGTGGGATGTTAGTCTGTAATATGGAACATACATTCCTAATTGGAATATTTGTATTTAATGTGGCCTAACAAACTCCCCACCCCTAAGCCCTGAGTCTCCTGTGTTCACATACACACAGGTCAAAATATGATGGTCCACTTTGAAAAAATTGTCATAAGCTTCTAAAGGGCATTAAAGGTTCCTATTAGTAAATCTGACTACCTGAAAACTTGCCCCATTAGGTAGTATTGGGTAGGACTGCAAAACTTTCACTCCGTTTACTGTATAGTGGAAGAAACACAACTTTCTCAATGGAACTAATGCACCTTGCAAAAAATATATTGGCATTGGATTATTGTTAACTCCATTAAAAAGGAGGTTTAGGTGATATCTTTATATAGAGGTAAAAGTGACAGGGCAACATTTCTTCATCAGTTTGCATACTGGTAATCCTTGGTAACATTCCCTGTAGATACTAAGCAGATTTAAGTCCAAAATGAAAAGGCCCTAAGAAATCCCATAATTTGTTAAATGAAACGAATATAAGGACTAAAATGATGTGAAATATGCATGTCAACGTTTCATCCTGTGGAGCCATTGTAAGGATTAGGTTTGCCTTAATCTGCAAAATGTTTTGTGGTCAGTCATAGTATTCTGAAAATTTGCTACAGGATATAATCATAGCAATCAACCAGTGAAGTACAGTCTGTGCCTATTTTCCTGGTACAGTACAAAGTCAGTGGTAAATGAAATTAGAAGTTTTAATCCCACATAATTGAGTTAGTCTATATAAGGAAATCTGTATTTAGAATTCCCTTGCCATCCAGAGTTTTGTAGCTCTTCAGGACTATTTTGTTTTCCAGTCTTTTTGCTGTAGCAGTAGTACCACGGAAGGCAAAGATGGATAATGAAAATTAGGCACTAAATTCAATGTCTAATTATGGATTTAGGTGCCTAAGTTTAGTTGGTTTGAAAAATGTTGGCTTTGATAGTTAAAATAAATTCAGGACAGAAAGTGAACCTGCCTTCACTAGGAAATTAAAAGGATTTAATAACATTACTGGCAAGTGCATGGTCAGTACTGATTATGGTAAAGAAAAGTACATTAATCAGCTCATGATTAATGACTCTTCTCCCTAACAAAAAAATACCTTCTACCCTTGGAAGCTGCCTGTGAAGGGAGCTTTCATGTACACTGATACTCAGTGAGGAAATGGAGCAGTTCTACACTGGTTTTCAGTTTTCCAGGAATCTGATACTCATTATTTTTGGCTCAGAAAGTTTTTCTACAATACCCAAACTTAATTTTTGCATGTCACTCACAACAGCTCTCTGGTTCCCTCTACAATGAATGTAGCTTGAGGTATTGCCTGTGGAAAAACTGAGTAGGTATGGTGGTAACTGGTGCCCTGATGGGAACAGCCAGGACTCCTGGCCCAAGAGATTGTACCTTTCTTGCATTAACTAGCGAGAGAGAGAGAGAGAGAGAGAGAGAGAGAGAGAGAAAATAAAAACCCAAGGAAAGGAATGAAAGGAGCAGACACAGAAGAGGTAAAATGAAAAGATGGATATGTTCTGTGCCAGTATATTATATCTACCCAAGGTGCACAGTTTGGTTCACAAAGCAAGCATGAATTCTGAATTGTTCACAAAACAAGCATGCCCTGTGAACACCTTCTACATGGAGAACTGTAATATTTTTCAGTGTTTATGAAACAGATCCAAGACAGCAGCATTTCAGTGTTCAAAGAAAAAACATAAATTGCAGACAGAAAATTGCTAGTCTATCACAGAACAAAATCCTCAGGTTAATCAGTTATATAATTCAGACCACCCAAATTGTTCTGATTCTTTGAGTGGTAACTCTGCAACAGTATAAGGTTTTGCTAGTCCTGTCTTCCAAAGGCCACTACTAGCTTGTGCCTTTCTCTGGCTCCCAGGAATAATCAAGCAGCAAAAGAGCAAGAAGTCTGTCTCAGAAGCTCTGTCTCAGTTGCCTTTAAAGAAGGATTAATGATTGCTTCTTAAAATACTAGCACTTTCAAGAGACAGCGTACTATATATTTTTATTATGTATTCACTTAATTTTGAATTCTTAAGACAAAATTTAAACAAGTAAATTGGTTTGGTTTAGTTCTCTGAGTTTAGCTCTTTTCATTGAATACATGAACCTTTTTTAAGTTATCATTGTTCTGTGGAATGAGGAAATGTCTCAGTTAGAAAGATGCTGCCTGGTCAACAGCCTCAGGGAACATCAGCCTTATCCATAAAGGGCTATGCCTTAAACTGACATGATGTTTGATAAAGAATACCTTTGGAAGAAGACATTCTTACAAGGTTATTATGCCCCACTTTTCATCTTCTTAGAGGCCTGGAGTCATCAATGTACTCTGTGGCCTGATAGTGGTCTTTGGGGAAGAATCATGACACTTCAGCATGTCCCAGTTTCAGTTCCAGTACAGGAAGATTCCTAACCACACTCTGAGAAAACAAACCTGCCTAAATCACCTATAAATTCATAATTCATTTTCTGAGAAACTAAAAATGAAGTATGTCTGTGGCTTTTCAAGATAAGGGTCAAACTTTTTTCCTTTTGGTCATGAAGTTGTAATTAGTTATTAAATTGTTTATAGAAAGAGTGGCAGGTATATGATTGTTGTAATACATTGTAAAGAGAGGTGCTTGTGTCACAATGCTTGCTACCAACAGATAGCAGGATATAATAGGATAATCAGCTTAGTAGGAAGCAGGTACTGATTACATCTTAGTTGTTTCAACCTAATATTCAGAATAAGCTGTCACTGGGATGTGGCTCTGTATATATGCACTTGTCAGAAAGGATGCGAGAGAAAACACACCTCTAACATGTAATGGTTCTAGTATGTTATGCTTGCTACACTCCTACACTACACATATTTTTGTGTGAACTCATAGTGCCTTGGTAATGTATAAGGCAGTGGTTCTCAACTTTTTTATACTCAGGGCATCCATCAGTAGACACAAAGCAACCTTCAGAAAAAGTCTAGCTCCTAGCTTTCACTCACTGTTTAACTATAGAACAATAATATAGCAGTTCTTCTGATGAAAAGAACTCAGATCACAACAGGCCAGAAGGTTTCTGACACTATGGATTCCTATGTGAAATCTCTGTGTGTATCTTATGAACCTAGTGTAGGTGTTTGCACTCCGCAGCACCTTTAAAAGGATCTCATGGCATGCTGAGTGAGCATCACTAGTATAAGTTATAGAAACTTATAATACCTACGTAAGTGCTGTATTTCTAGATGCCAAGAAAAATGGCCATAGTACATCTTTGGAAGAATGTCTTTTGAATAAATAACTATCATTCTTCTGATCATATTTTCACTTGCTCACTTAGCACACAGACTAAGAAACTGGAAGAATGTGGTTCATTTCTGGGCATTGAGAACATTGAGGCTATTTGGATAAAAAAGTAATCCAAATGATGTCATAAATATCCATCCCATTTAAAGAGCTCCACAGCAAAACATGATTAGATATATCTTAAGTTTTTTTTCAAATGCTTGTTTTTATGTGCATTTCATTGTGGGTATACTTGCATCTCAAAGACCTGGGTTTTGAAGATATTTTCACCCTAGCAGTAAGTGTATAGCAAGCATATGCCTAAGGAAAAGCACTGAGGGTATAAAGCATGGTACCTATTTCCCACTCCTCATGTTGTCTGAACTATTAAAGCTTAAGAAAGAGGTTCTGCCATCTGTTCCAGATTGTGCACTTGTCCTACTGCTCTTTTTCCAAAACTTTATTTTCCTACCCTTTTTCTTTTTTGTTTCAAATAACTTTTAGACAGCTACTTATTTTTAAAATAATAGAATCATAGAAGCATTGAACGGGAAGGGACCTGTAAAATCATCAAGTCTGGTCCCCTGCCGTGGTGGATAGTGAACCTTATCAGGTCGTGGTCACTGTGCCCAGAGTACCACCAAGCCTCAGGCCACCTACAATGTCCTCCCCTTTGGTCAGCACTA